GCCAAACTAAATCTATACTACAGCAACTAGTGGATATACCCTGGGAGATTCTAGAGAGTGGCTATCCTGAACTTCTTTCGCTTCCTACACTCCCCTTGAGGACTGCATTGTCTCTTATCTCCTTTCCTGTTCTGAAATGTACTCCCTCCCTCCTGATAACCTTGATCCCCCCCATCACTCTCTTCCTCATAGATATATTCCATCACATCTGTCCTAGGAGCACACATAACTGCCTGCACCGCTGCATTCTGCACCAGCTGAAGCTTCTGAATACTCTTCAAGGGCAGCCCCATGTGGAACACATTACAATAATCCAATCTGGAGGTGACTAGGGCATGAGTGACTGTGAGCAGAGCCTCCTGATGCAAGAACAGGCACAACTGGTGCACAACCTGAAGCTGTGCAAAGGCCCTGCTAGACTCACGACTCTGACAGCAGGAATCATGAGTCTAGGAAGACCCCCAGATTGCGCACTGGGTCTGTCTGGGGCAGTGCCACCCCATCCAGCACCAAAGATGGCATAGTCCTAGAACCAGCAGGCCCCAAAACCCAGAGCCACTCAGTCTTGCCAGAGTTCAGCTGAAGCCTGTTGTTCCCCATCTAGACCCTCACAACCTCCAGACACCAAGATAAGACATTCACAGTGTCGCTTAATTCACCAGGAACAGAGATGTATAATTGGGTATCATCAGCATACTGATGATACCTCACCCCAGGGCAACAGATGAGCTCACCCAGCAGCTTCATGTAGATGTTAAAAAGGAGAGGAGAGAGCACTGAACCCTGTGGCACCCCACATAGTAGGGACCAAGGGTGGGATCTCTCCTCCCCAGTCATCACCAACTAGAACTGACCCTGAAGAAAGGAGGTGAACCAGCACAACACCGTAATGCCTACCCCCAATCCTCTGAGCCGATCCAGAACAATACCATGGTTGATGGTATTGAAAGTTGCCAAAAGGTCAAGTAGGGCAAGGATGGATGCACAACTCCCATCCTGCCCATGCCAGAAATCATCCAAAAGTACAACCAATGCTGTTTCATCCCATACCAGGGTCTGAGTCCTAACTGAATGGGATCCAGATAATCCACTTCATCCAAGTCCTCTGAAGCTGTTGCACAACCACCTTCTCAACCATCTTCCCCAAAAAGGGGAGGTTAGATACTGGACAAAAATTGCCCAGAATAGTGGGGTCTAGCAATGGCTTCTTGAGAAGGGGGTGAACTAAGGCCTCTTTAAGAGGTAAAGGAACAACCCCATCACTCAAAGAATTAACCACTGTTAGAACCTACTCACATGACACCCCCCGGGCCACTTTCACAAGCCAGGAGGGGCATGGATCTAAAGAGCAGGTGGCTGAGCTCACAGTCCTAAGGACCCTGTCCATTTCCTCAGGTCCAACAGGTTCAAACCATTCCCAGATAACAGGGCAAGACTACCCCAGGCATCTCCTCTGGACCTGCCACAAAACCAGTATCCAACTGCGAGTGAATCTGAGCAATTCTCTGACAGATGCTGGGCAAACTTTTCGACAACCCCCTGGAAAAGGTTCCCCAGACCCCTTTTACTCAAGAGGGCTCGTGTTACCCAAAACAGGGCTGCAGGGTGGCAATCTGTGGATGCAATAAGGGCAGAGAAGTATTGCTGCTTCATCACTCTTACAACCACAAGCTAGGCCTTAATAGCGGCTTACATTCATCCTTGGTTGAGCACTAGCGATGCTCTAGATGTCTTTTGTTTCATTTCCCTGAATTCCTCTGTAAACCATGGGGAGTGACGGGATCCCAGAGAGGGGAAACTCACATGGGCACAATCCGATCCAGCGCCTCAGCTGCCCCCTTGTTCCAAGTGGCAATCAAGGCTTTGGATGGACTAATTTACTTATAAATTAGTGTATATGACTTGCTTTTTGTTTTAAAAAAAGAGTAAAAGTTATATTCACAAAATACAATTTTACTTATTTTATTACTTGGCATGCTTACCGGAATCCCTAGTGCTTTTAGTATGTTCATTTTACACATAGGACAGGTACGATGATCTAGGAGCCATGGATCTACACAAGATTTGTGAAAGAGATGCCTATGAAATGGAGGAAAATGGCATTTAATTCAATTTTTTCCCCTCTGTAAAGTCAGAATTTTCAGATATTAAGTTGAAATAATTTTCTGCAATATACAATATCTAAACTAATGATATGTTTCTGCAACATTTTTATCAAAAGGAAAACCTGAAGAATGAAGCCATGAGTTAAAAAACAGAAGTATTTTGGAGTTGGTTATGATGCAGTATTAGAATCTTAGAGAAATATCCCAGAGATTGAAATAAAGTGGATCAAATAGCTGCTATTATTATTATTATTATTATTATTATTATTCATTTTAAAAATCCATATGATCATCACTTAAGGATGTATGTGAAAAATAGCATAAATAAATGAACAAATTCATTGTCCATGATAACAATTCCAAACTTAGATAGAGATAATGAAACATTTGTCCCAGTATGACGAATAAAGAGTTCATTGTATTTTATTTATTATGACAGTAGTGGGGGACCTGTCATAAAAGTTAAGACATATGTATACTCACCCCAAATAATGTGACATTACAGAACATTAATAAACATAGTGAGTGTATACAATAAATATGTCAGGTGCTAGGCCTGGAATCCAAAACTTCTATATCAAGCAACCTAATGAAACTTTGAGAAAGATTCTGAATTTTTATTAAAATCAATTACTTTATTAAATTTGTTGGGATAATGATAATAACTTACCGGCAGGGCAAAATCCTGACAACATCATTTGGTTTGTATCCCTCAATACACACTGCACAGTTATCAAAATCAGACTCAGTTTCCTAAAAAACAATAATGCTAATTAATATTTTTACAACAAAAATCCAAGCTGAGTGAAATCCACACAGACGCGTCCTTGTTGATCTAGGCCAATATCCATGTGCAAATGAATGGTGGTAGGATATAACAGAGCCTACCCTGTTTTTTTCCTTGTGGTACATGTACATGGACAGTCTAAACTTCAGATCACTGTGAAAATGGTAGCTTTGCATGAACCTTCTGTAGGTTTATCCAATCTTTCAAACTCTGACCAGCTGAGGTCTTACACACTCCATTTTGTAGTAGCAAGTTTAAAAACTTCTAGTTTTATTTTTTATTATTTTGTCCTTAATATGCTTGTCTCTGAACAAAGTGGTCATTTTTAAAGAGAAGAGTTTTTAAAATTACCTTATCTCCTTTCCTTATTGTTCTGACTTGCAGTTTGCTGATTGCTTTCTTTGCAGCATCTCCAAGACGGCGCTGAAAAAAAAATCATTTTATACTTATAGGAGATTCCTTCATACAGTTTACCTCTTGCATTAATAATAATTCAAGACCATTTAAAACAAAAGAGGGAAAAACAGGAACTTCTATAGGGAAAAAACTCTGCAGAACACTTAACATAGCACAGATTAAAAATATGAAATTTTGAACCTACCATATTGAGATTTTGTTACTGAAGTGTTTAAACTAGATATTTCTTGCTTTCTGTGTCTTATATTTACTTTACTAGCTAGCTGTTTAGTTAACCAGTGACTAGCACATATCCAGAAAAATACATTAATACCCTACAATATAAAGAATATATATGAATATCTTAAAAATTAAGGCTAAAACCAAGAACATCTATAATTGAAGAAGGAACATAACTGATTATCTGATCATATGATTTCCATACAGATGGTCCCAAATTCATACAAACCCACCATGCTATTCCCTTTAGGGTAAGCAATATTATGGAAAATTCAGGAAAAAAGTGATAAATAGTGGATAAAAGAAGTTAAAGGCAGGAGATAAAAGAAAGGAAATATAGCCACAGCATTCTTTTTTACATAAATATGATTCATTATATGCCTCCATATTTTCTTTTCCTTACAGAGCAAACCATCCTTTCTTCCATCACATCCACACATTGATTCATACAATGCCTTTTGTTCTTTAAATTTCTCACCCTCTCATCAGCTCTGTCCAACTATGACTTTCTTGGTCTTCCCCTTCTTCTGAATCCATTCCCTTTCCTTCATATATTTGTTTTGCAATTTGATTGTTGCTCATGCATCCATAAGAGCCAGCTATCTCAACATACTTCTTCCATCATTCATTTTCAAATTCAACCCATATTCATTCAGGAACGATTCATTCTTGATCCTATGTCTTCTAATTTGATCACATATGCTTCTTAAGTACCCCGTTCCCACTGCATTCAAGTTAGTTTTATGTCTGCCAACATGCCCAACTCTTTTCCATTTAACAAAGTGGACAGAAACATGCTCTTAAACATAGACATTTCTCTTCTTTTCACAAATGTGTATTTCTCTCAAGAGAACACATTTACCTATTACTGTTCTACCAGCACTGACACATTTTAGAATACTTCCATCCATTTTTCCTTCTTTAGTAAGCATTCTTTCAAAGTATACACATTTCTCTACTTGCTCTAATTTTTTG